TAAATGCGACCCGCTACCAGGTACAGGTGAGGGCATGTTACCTGTAACCTGATGTTTTCGTGAATGATAGCGATACCGTTAGCATCAGCAAGGCTGGCACTTGCCGAAATAGTTGCAAAAGCTGATGGTGGTAAAATTCCCAATGGGGCAGCAGCTATAAAAGGTGTTGCAGTGACGGCATCACGACTGCTCACTGAACGCAACAACGTTTCACTACGTCCATCTCGCGGTGCGTCGTCACTGGCTGCAAGAAAACCAAAAATCACAGACACTAGGGACTTGGGAAAAAAACAAAATATTTTGAATATAAGCAGGCAAAATACCAGTACCAGTTCGAGAAATTTGCGCGCTCGATTCTTCAAGAGGACTCGGCTGTCGTCGTTTCCAGAAATATAATAAACGCTGTGATGTTGATAATGCTTCATCAACACGACCTGCAACAATCAACTTTGGAAACCTTCGTTCTATGGGTAATAAAAATTTCGAATTTGATAATCTTGGTAAAAAATTATGATCCAGTTCATCCTTATTCCGACAATTATGACAAAAATCATGATCTTTGTAGCGCAAATTTCAGCAAAATTTCGCTTTCTTATCTGTCTAAATGATGATTTTATTAATGAACAATACATTTTCCTAATGTGTTATAAAATCAGGTCGCTAAGTTAGATCATGTATTCGCTACAACAACAGCTCTGCATGATATTATCAAAGCAGTGTAAGCCAGCAAAATGTTTTGGACTGGTCACTGACTGACTGTGACCAGTTCAATACCTCCTCCTAGTTTACATTACATTACACCACTCAAACTGGGACTTTTCGAAATCTTAATGGCATCCGCATACGATCATATTATCAGCAAGCCATACAAGCAGTTCCGACATTTAAGTAATAGAATAAAAGGGAGGGGCGATAGAAGCCCAACCAAAATTAGTTGTACCGAGCAGGATTGACGATAAGGTCGGAGCTGTGAAGTGGCATTTTGTGGCCAGAAATAGGCCGAAGCTTACCTTGTGAAGTAGTGTTTTTTTTAATGTTTTCTTTGGCATTTGTAAATGTTCGAGAGAAATTTACCAAACTTCACTTCAAGCTTCAGTTTCAGGACCAACAGCGGATAACTGCTCGGGAAATCATCCAATGCATCGATGATCAACTCAAGTGCTCCTTTGTAATCCTTCTGGGCGGTAAATATTAGCGCAAGAAGCATTACAGCAGAAGGCATCTCCGGATTCAGTTCCAGGGTCCTTTCGCACCAGTCACGCGCTGCTTGTAAATCACGTGCTAAAACCGATCATCACAATAATCAACGTTCAACACCAAAAGAAACAAGTCAAAAAAAAACCCTCCACATATGCTCTCCACGAGAAGTATGAAGCACTCAAGAAGTAACCAGAATGATAACAAATGCCAACAATCATCCGCTGGCACGGCTGTCGACGGTCCCCTCTTTCAAGGGTTGCTTGGAAGAAAGCTATTGATGGTGGGTTTGACTCCCTGGCATATGCCATTACCAATTTGCCACTGAAACGAATGAACGAATCGTAGAGGGACTGGTTGTTCCACCGACAGAATCGATCGCTTGAGATACCGCACGATAACAGTGCTAGTTCCCATTTGCGCCATGCCTATCGGCATTATCAAATATGAAGAAAGTAAATGTTCAAAATTGAAAAGCCTAACATTTTTTGTGCCCGAGCGATAACATTTCTGAAAAAAACCCTTATTTTTTTTAAATAACTAATCAATTCATTGCCGGAATATTTTTTTAAATAAGCTTGAGGGAATTTTCAAAAATTCAGAATCAAGTCATATAAGCTGCCCCAGAAACTTTTCAGAAATTAGGCTCAAGTTAGATTTAGACCAAAAAAGCAGCATTTTAGACTAAAACAAGTTTTCTTTCACAATTATTGTAAATTAGTTCATTAATCCTTTACGATGCATTCTTGAACCAACGTCTTGTTTAGTGAATAAATGCATTAAGTGCCAGTTTTTTCAACTCGTTTCGATGATGTTCAGCCTTTTCTGAAAGGCCATCAGAGCTGCCCAATCTTTAAATTTGTATTTCTACAATTTTATCACTTAGAGCGTTCATGGAAAAAATCAGAAACTAAAAAATGTTTACCGATGGCATGCTGACGAGCACAGTAGTAATGCGCCAAATCATCATGCGGATCTATGGATGCTGCTTTTTCGAATAGTTTTATTGCTTCCAGCTGCATCTCCTTTCGTTCGCTGTATCGAACTATCGTTTCGGCCTTTACACTGCAATATAAAAGTCAAAACAATCACAGACATACCTGACCGCATTTCTCCAATTTTAGGATTCTGAGAAGAAATCGTCACGATGAAACGTGCTTCGCTTTTAAGTACCTTAATGCAATAGCTTTTAATAAGACACATCGTCCGGAGAGCCAATTCCCTTCACATAATTTCATCGCTGCTTCGGCATGACTTACTGCTGAAAAAGACGCAAAAAAAACCCTACTGAATGAAATGGCTGTTTGTCTTGAAGTAGGCAATTTTAGGTTTCCTCAATTCAAATTTAAACTCAAGCAGAAGTCAAGCAGAATAACGGAAGCTAGCTGTGGTGGAAAGTACTGTTCCAAAGGATGCTTGGTGTATCTCTGTACGCCTAAGAATATAACAAAACTGACTCCAGGTCAGATAAGCAATGCACAGGATGTAATATTCATGGCTTTTAAGAGGAAGTACAATCCGATCGATAAGGTATGCTGTCAGTTTTGTTAGTAACCGATGAACACCGTGTATTAACGCGTGAGATACGCAAAGAAATAAGTAAGCAGCTTTCGAAAAAGAGACGTAAAAAGACTGAACAGGCGATGAATACTAACTGGAGGTGTGCAGTTCGGGGAAAAACGGCTTGGTACAGTTTCACTCGGCATGAGTAACATCACTGCCGTTGAATCCCTATACCACCTGTCCCTGTGGCCTTGATATTTTTCGTAGAAATGCTAAACTTAATAAATCGCATACCTTCGTCATACTGGCCAAGTTGCTCAATGGCAATTTGTGCAGCAAAAAGATGTTGCGCAACTGAACTATCGTCATGTCGCTCGATAGCTAGGCACTGCGACAAAATTCGCGATGCTCGCACATATCGTCCATGGCATAACAGTGTCAGGGCAAATTGAAACCTCAAACATAACAAAAACATTGGAATTGGAACTAAATCTGGAAAATCAACAAATCAAGTATAAGAAGAGAAAAAATTTTCACGTCTAAAGGAAGAACTTGTTAGCATTTTTCGACGAAGCAAGCAACCCCGGTTGGTAAATAATGTCGTAGTCAGTGCACGGAGGACTAACTTAATGGGCCTAATAGAAGAATTTCACATTTAGAGATGAACAGAATTGACAGCTACGTAAAATTTGGGAAGTGGTGGTGGCCGATGCTGCATCGCTTGGTGGTCAGGATGTTGGTAATCCCCAGAATCAATTGATTTCGCCCCTTTCCTGTTTGTTTTTTTTTTTTGAAGAAAAAGGCTCGGACACAGCCTATCACAATGGTTGTACAAATTGGAATCGATTTGTAGCCAGATTGACAGAAAAATCTAAATTAAAATATGTAAACTAACCACAAATATTTGTCGTCGTTTGCAAATTTCATCGCTTTTTCATGAATGCTTGCAAGAAGTTCGTACTGCCGCAGTGCAGACAACACCTAGAAACCTGGAAAAAGTGCTGCGAAAGGGTTCTTTTCCCTTTAATATATTACTACTAGCAGCTTAAACACAGCCATTAAGTAAAAACAAGCTAAACCCAGACAATGCGGATATTGTAAAATGAACGTTTTTGAATACTGAATGATGATTTGAATAGTGCTTCTAGCAGTACAAAGTCAGCATAACACGAGAAAAATTTTGCTGGCACCAATTTATGGTACTTTGGATGGTACTTTCGCATTTTAAGCAGTTGAATCAAAATCAATCCTCCTCTCCTCCTTACTCCCCCCCCC